AGGTCCCTAGGGAGCTCCAGGATGGGAGCTGGTCTCTCAATGGTTAAATTTGCCATCCTCCATGCCCAGGGCTAGAGACTGGGCTCACGACCAACAGCTGGTGCTGCCACCAATCCTGTCTGGTCAAGGAACCTATGAAAATGCCCTCATTGACAGAGCTGGGGGAACCCAGCTGGCACATGCACCACTGCCTCCAAGGATCGGCTGGATGGAGGCGGTGCTTCGACTTCATGGAAACAGGAGCTGCTATGCTTGGGACGCTTTGGACCTCAACCTATGTGTTGTCCAACCTATCTGTCTCCTTTATCACATCTTTTTTTTTCCCCTTTATCACATCTTTTCCAACATGATTACTGCCAATAATTCTAATGAAACATGTTGGGCTGGTGTAATCCCTGCACTCAGGAAGGAGGCTGAGGCAGGAGGATCCCACAACTTCAAGGCGAGCCCGGGCTACATAGTGAGCTCAAGTTTAACCTGGACTACAAAGTGACATCCTGTCTCAAAAGCAAATAAACAAACACTAAAACAAAACAGAGTAAAGCGTTTTCCTACCTCACTACAGCAAATACCGAACCTGAAGATGCTCTGTGGGTTTGTGGGAATCACCACTTGTAGGCAAGCCAGCCAGTACAGGGACCTGGGGACTCACCTGCAAGTGGGGGCATGCTGTAGAGCTGAGCCTTGAGCCAGTACAGTCTGAGCTAACTCTGGGTTCTTAGTGTCAGACTGAATTAAATTGTGGGACACCCCTTGCTGTTCACAGAACGTGGTGTAGAAAGCCCACACATTTGGTATCAGGAGTATTGAGTGAGAGAGCTTTCCCTTATCACTTTTAAACTGCCCCTTTGTGTATGTGTATGCCAAAGTGCCAGAACACACACACACACACACACACACACACACACACACACATTTTCCCAATCCAGCTTAAACAATCAGCACACACACCTGATATCAAAAGCTGCCACACACCCCCCCATGACAAGCTCGCTTTCTGGGTGCTGGGAACGCAGGACTATCTGGCACTGACGGGGAAGACAGTCTGCAGACAGCTGCATGGCAGAAGGCGGAGGGGGCAGGGGAGAGCGGGTGTCATGAATATTCACAGGCCAGACTCTCCTCCGGCTGGGGGCAGTGCACAAAGACGTACGCCAGGCCTCACACCAGGCCTGCTGTCCCAAGTCCACGACACAGAGGTGCCCATCTTACACACGAGAAACACCTGCTAGCGGGAAGCCACGCAGTTAGTGGGAAGCTCTGCAATTGCTTTGTTCAACTCCAAACCCTCTCAAGCTTTAATCATCAACAAATGCCGAGTGATGCTCTGTGGCGGCCTGGGGTGGGGGGATCAATGTTACCCCTGACAGCTACATTTTCCACATATATGAAGGTGTGATAAAAAACACAATGAATGCTTACATTTAAAACAATCATTACGGTAAAAGATACAGAGCCACTAATTCCCCTCAAAACTCTTCTTGCTTCAAGCCCACCTTTCCCACTGTTCTTGCCAAGCCATTCTGGAAGTCCTCACTCATGGGTGTCTGTAGTTGCCCTGTCCTGGCTGTCTCGATGCCTGAATCAACTCAACATGCTTATCAGTCTCGATGCCTGAATCAACTCAACATGCTTATCTGTCACGCTCATTTGACTTTGGGGAAGAGTCCGAAGTTACATGGTGCCCGATCCGATGAGTAAGGTGGATGAGAATGCACTGTAATTTCTTTTATTGGACAGAAATTGGCAAAAATGTTTAATCAAATTTTTGATTAAGAATCAAAAACATATGGTGAGGGCCGGGGAGATGGCTCAGCGGAATATGTGCTTCCCTGGCAAGTGCAAGATTTTGAGTTCAATCCCCAGTTCCGCCAAAAAAAAAAAAAAAGTAAAAAGGACAAGGAAAAATATTAAATGTTTGATTGTTTAAAAAAAAAAACATACGGTGAATGTCTACATTAAAGTCATTACAATAAAAGCCACACTGCCATTACTTCCCTGTAAAATACCATCCCCTCGCTTTGAACACACGTAGCCCATTGTTCTTGGCAATGTCTTTTACTGGACTAAGGCTTTTAAAATGTAAGCATTCACTGTCTATCTGATCACCCCATATAGTTATAGATGGGGAATCCCTGCAAGCAGCAGTGAGGGACAACAGCTAAGCTTTCTCTGTCTCGGAGCTGCCTGTGTTCAAAATCAGGCCGTACTCCTGCCAGCTTAGGGGCCTTGGAACCAAGGACAGTGCCTCCTAAGTCTCAGCTTCTTCAGTTTGAAGACATAATATGGATACCCACTTTATAGGGAGGGGGCCAGAGGACGGCGGCGTGTTCAAGGCCTGGAAGGCACCTGCCACAGCCTGGCACTTATCATGATGACAATCCCATTAATTTGTTGGGAGGCCTCACTGTTCAAGGCGGAAGTGGCAGAAACCAAATACTGCTGTGGACCCCCAGATCCAGGCTGAAGCCGCAATTCCCCCTGTGACGGAGGAGGCTTTGGCAAAGTAACTGTGCCATAAGAGCAGGGCTGCCCTTAGAAGATGTCTCAGAATGCTGTCTGGCCCTCTTTCTGCCCTATGGGGACACAGTAGGAAGCCGGCCATCTGTGACCAGGGACAGGACCTGCTAGGGCCCACCATGCTGGCTCCCTCATCTCAGACTACAGCCTCCAGAAATGTGAGACATGCATTTCTGTGGTTCCGAAGCATCACAGTCAGTGGTATTCTGGTACAGCTGCTGGAACTGAGACACTCGCGGCACTGCAGGAGGAATTCTTAGAGCAACCACAAAATACTCCCCTGGAAGAGCTGCCCTGGGTCAGAGCTCCACCTTGTACTGCTTCCTGGCCCCACTCAACAAGGGTTTCTTATTATCAGAATGCACACTTGCAAGATGAGGGGGACTTCGGCCTCCACTGGCTGAACCATGGCTATGGCCCTGGTGTTGCTTATCGCCAGCTCAGCAAGAAGTTCTGTGCAGAGAGGCGTCCAGTGATGAGGTCAGTAACCCCACAGCCCCAAACTAATTTGTTTCCACTGCTCAGAGCAGGTGGCTGCGATGCCACTGGCTCCCTGCTAAGCTGCAACTTGGCTCCTGCACTAAAAGCACTGGGCACAAGAGTGCTTGCATCAGCCATGCCAGCCGGGCAGCTCTTCCTCTGGGTCACATTCTGCAGGGCAGGGGAGTCTCGGGTCCATTTCAGGATTCTTCCATCAAAACCCTGCCAATGAATCAAGTTCCCAGGGAAGGTCTGCATGGCTTACAGTTCAACAGGAGCCACATGTGAGAGGGGACTTTTCGCTTGTTTTCTTCCCTGCGGTCCCCAGGACCTAGGACAGCAGCATGGTCGAGGGCAGGGGAAGAAGACAGCTTTCTGGTGATGGAGCACCTGCACTGTTGCAGAACACACCCAGCAGCCAGGTCTGGCAGTCCTCGACCCTTCCCCAAGCGAGGGACCGGCAAGGTGACACTTTCCTGATACTGCTCTGCTTTGGGCTCCCCACCTGGCACCTCGGCTGGTGGCATGGCCCCCCGGGCCTCTGACCCACTCCCTTTGGAGAGCTTTGACCTTTTCTTTCTCCCAAGCAGAAAACAGTGTTTGCTTCTAAGTAACGAGTGAGAAGGTCAGCTTGTGCCTGGGTCACGGCTCCCTCCTTTCGCACTCATACTGCCAGGAACAAAAACGTTAGAGCCTGATGTGCCTGTGGAAGTCACCTCTCAGGGAGGGGACGAGGAGACCGAAACTCGAGACACTAACCAAGCAGCCCAAGGACACGGGGTGGACTCTGCCTCTCACCAGTGCTTTCTAGGTCCTTTTCTGTCTAACTGGTCAGAAAGTCTCAGACTAACTCTTAAAAGAACCCACAAAAAAGCCCAGTTGTCTTTCTATCACAAGTGTCTTCGCAAGCATAAACAGACCTACTGTATTCACACAGTTACATATTTTCTGTATACAGAAGTATGTACACACAATACACAAATATACACATATGCACAAATACAGTTAGTATATAAGTGAACTATCCTGTAATCCCAAACATCTCTTTGTTTTACGCCTATTTATTATAGCATAACAAATAGGAGTGTGGGGGAAAGTTAGAAATACAGTATGAGGAAGGAGAAACGCATGGAATTTGCAAAAGCACATTCAACATTATCACTGCTTTCATTTTTCTTAAGGTACAATACTGAATGTTCTTTGGAACTTTTAACAGTGAAGCAGAACATTCAAGTTTTATTCATCAAAAGGAGCTGAAATACGATGATTGGGAAATACTGTCTTGGACTTGCAGGGTAGGACAGTGTTGGAAGCTGTCTGGCCCAACTCCCTGTTGAAGATAAGGCAACTTCCACTCCAGGGAATTAAGCGATTTCCTGTCTAGGTCAGAGTGCTGATGACTCGTCCCCGACGGGAGCAGCCACATGGACTTATCTGTTCTTAGGTCCACAGAATCTGTGCTAGGTGGAGTCCGGGGATCGCTAGCCTGAAGGAATTGATCATAATGAGGATGCTAAGATACAGTGGAAAGGTGAATTCCCCAACACACCTGAATTTTGTTTTAAATAAGGAGGATTCTTGGAAAAGGACAAGTGGAACCTGAAGTTCTGGCTGCATGCTGTTTCCTGGGGGCACCATTTAATGACCCACAGGCCTGGGTTCCTTTCCTTCCAGAGCCCCTTTGGATACATTTGGGCCCTGTTTGGGGGGAGAAAATTTAGGCTGTAGGAGCAGTTCCTCACCTCTCCTTGGGTACTTGGAGGCCAGGTTCTCAGTTTGGTCCCATCTACCAACACAAGTCACAGGCTCTCTCCCACTTGTGACAGGACTACAGGTCCTAAAAGTCACCCTGCGAGCAGAGGCAGCGGCCCCAGAAGAGTCTGCCCACAGCCTTACGCTAAGCAGACCCAGCGCTACCCTGCTGGGGGCCCTCGGGGGCAGGCGACTGTCCCCCGAGTGGCGGCTGCCAATGCATCTGCCAAATGTAGGAGTCCACTTACCGCAGTGCGACTGGAAAACCTGTGGCTTGACGACCTGATTACAGGCACTGCACACTACGAGATAGAAGTCGTCATGTGCTGGGTAATGGCCAAATAAGTGCATATCTGTGGGGAAATGAAAACAGTGTTTTTTGAAAAAGCAATTAAGTCTCAGAAGGTGTACACTTTCCTCTTGGAATTTCTTCAAGGACAGCTTTTCAAACAAGACACGCAGAAAGGTGATCATCTTTGCTAAAGGGAAGACAGTTTCCCCAAATCTCGAAGCAACTGCCTCAAAGAATCCCTCCGACTGAACCCCAGAAGTGGACTATGTGGCTCTTGATTGGGTCAGTGGTGTTGGGACTGCCCCTAGCTATGCGCAACGGGAGTGGTCCTGCCAGAGATGGACAAACCTATGCCCATGGCCAGCGGCCCCTCGAGTGAGTGAGAAAACAGGGCTGTGGCTGGAAAGAGGAGCAGCTTGGCCTCTCAGTTGCCTGAGTGTTCTTGCCACCCAGGGACATGTGCCACAGGGATCCATTATTCACCTGGTATATATCTACCTAGTGCCCAAGTGTGCCAGGCCCTGTGTTAGGCACCGGGGTAAACTGGGGGAACTAGAACAAGGTCTCTGCTCTCCTGGAGCCTAAGGCAGTGGAAGCACAAACACAAAACACAATCACACTTGTCACTGGTGGTCACGGTGGAGGTGATGTTGGGACTGGGGGCTAGCCTTTTCTGAGGCTTAGAGAATGAGGAGGAGACATGTCAGCTGAGACCTCAGATGAAGAGGGGTGAGGAAATGTCAAAGTTGAAGTCAAACAAGGAGGCTTTACGTCTTGGAGGAGCCTCTGGTCTCTTGGTTGGAAAAGAGGAGTAGGGGCTGGGGCAGGTGAGGCGGGAAAGGTCCAGAAGCCATAACTGTGTAGATCAAGGCGAGGATTTTGAACCTGATTTTCAGGAGAAGGGGAAGCTACTAAAGATTTTAAAGCAAAGAAATGACATGTGGGATTGGACAGAGACTGTCAAAAGATCAGTTATATGGCATATACCTAATAGACACCACTACATGTCTCACATGAAACCTGTGAAGCATCATTCTTAACAGCTAATATGCGGAAATGACCAACAGTCTAGCCGCCAATAATGGATACACAAAATGTGTCATAGCCGCAAACCACAGTACTGTTCTTCATCCATAAAAGGGAACAAAGCACTGACGTGTGCTACCACATGGATGAACCCTGAAAACACTACATGGAGAGGAAGGAGCCAGACACAAAGGCCAGTGGTCCCTTGAGTAAGTGAGAAAACAGGGCTGTGGCTGGAAAGAGGGCACAGCTCATGTGAAGGGTCCAGAACAGTCAAATCCATGCTGACAAAGAGCAGTTTCACATTGCCTTGGGCTCTGGAGGCTTGGTGGGATTAAAAACTACTGAATGACACACTTTAAGTGGGGGAACAGAATGGGATCTAAATTGTATCTCACAAAGCTGTCACCCATGAAAAAGGTTAGTTCTGAGGGAAGCCTTGTCATACCCCTGGTGCTCCTTGGTGGGCAGCACCTTCTGCCTCTTCTCAGCTGCTTGGCCCAAGCAAGCCACCTGGGCTCTGAGAACAGGGCAGTTACGACCCTGCAGGTTTAGGGGAAAAGCTAAAACACTGCACCCTGAAGGCACTTTTCTCACAACTTCCTGAACTTTCTCAGGTTGAGAGGAAGTGCTACAATTTCCTTCCTTAGTCCTCATTTTCCAGATCCAACCTAGGTTTTTCATAAAAATCCCAAACACATGTGGTTCCCTCAACTAGGATCCTGGGCAAAAGGAAGAGGCGACTTCCTTAAGATGAGGAGAAGGCTTGTTAACCACCCAAGGAATGTCTGAATGGAAGCCCTACGGCTCTGCTCCTTCCTCAGTGCGGCCCTGCTGCTTTGAGGGAAATGGAACCAGCACACTTTACCACACGGAGAGGAGCAGAGTCTTCCCACCTGTCCTGTAAGAGACAGTGACAGAGAGGGTATCCTGGGTGCCCTAGCCGGGGACTCCCACAGGAGTGTCCTTATCAGGCCTCAGGAGTGGGTGGTGGGCCCGGGATAGAGACACAGGCCACACTCAATTTCTAACTCTTGGGTGTGGTCTGCTTCTATTCACTGGAGAACTTGTCCCTTCCCACTCCTACTTCTGACTAAGGCCTATACCCACCATGTGCTTTGTGGGAAGTGACTGAGAGGGCATTTTTAGTTGGTGCCTGGAGGCAGGGAAGCCCATGGTAGAGGGGTGAGATGGCACGAAGCTGGGACAAGGCCGAAAGGCTGGGGTTGGGATTGCCCCAGCCATGGGCCTGAGTTACAGAAGCCCCCACGGAGTCTCACAGTAGGGGCAGGTTGCCTTTGTGAGTGTGTATATGGCACCAGGGACTGAACCCAGGGTCCTGTGCATGCCAGGCAAGCATTGTTTACTGAGCTACATCTCTAGCCTCCCATCATTTGGAGTTAGGGCCTTGTGAAGTTGTCTAAGTGTGTCCCAAACTTTTGATCTTCCTGCCTCTGCCTCCTGAGTAGCTGGGATGACAGGCGTGATGGCACTATGTCTAGCCAACACATAGCCTCTTCCACCTTCAATGTGGAAACCACCTTGCTTCACTTTTATTTGCAGGCTTATTCTTACAATATACATTCATTTTTTTTTTAAATAACACAACTGATCCAAACTCATAGAAGCTATTTTTGAAAAATACAGAAAAGCCAGAAGAAGCTAACAAAAATTACTGGCAACCCATATTAGCTCTTAGATTTAAAGTCCCATTTTCTATTCAGGAACATGCAAAATGAGGAGCTGTTGAGAGCTAAGGCTTATTTTTAAATAAGTCAATAAGAGTATTCTGAGTTGTGTTATATCCCTTCGGCAACAAGTTACTGTATAGAGGAGTACAGGAAATGTATTAATTAAAAAAAAAAAACAAACCCTATCCAAACCAAGCATCATTGAAAATCCCTTGAGCAACAATTCTTGTATCCCTGAAATGAGCTGCTGGGGACACCACTGGAGCCCCTACCTGTACACACCTGTTGTGTCACCACGGTGCAGGGAAAGGTTGGGCTAGCCTGCAACCACTGAGTTTCTTCACTCACTGGGACTTTTCTTGGTTTTCTACTAGGGCAGTTTCTGCGTTGTACCTGTTTATTCAGAGCACATCTCCCCTGGAAAGAGCAAGCACCTACCTGTGCCCTGCGCAGCCCTCGGTGAGTGGGCCTTCGGATCTCCTCCTGTCTAAGGGTTGGGGAACCTGGCTCCCAGAAGACTCCACCTCCACGGCTGCCCATCCAAGCACAGTGTGCTATCTGCATACATTAATATGGGCTAAGGATGTAGGAGAGACAACAGGGAGACACGAAAGCTAGCATGCAGTACCATGCTAGGTGACCTATTAATATTCTCTCTCTCCCCTAAGTAAAATATTCAGTGCACAGTTTAAAAACCAGAACGGCAGGCTCATACCTGCCTGTGGGCACCAACCGTGTGTTTTTTCTCCCGAAATTCAGTGATTGGCCACGGTGGCGGCACTCACATCACAGAAAGGGAGAAATGCCCCCAACGAGGGCTGTGCTTTTGGAGAGCTAGTTGTTAAACATTTACCAGTGTGATGCCAAATACAGATGGGCAAAAAAAAAAAAAAAAAAAAGAGAAAGAACTACAAGCTGGCGATACCCACCATGGCAGGTAATAGCCACCCTTGCAGGGTTTGTGATGTGGTAACATTAGCTTCTGCCTCATAACTCTGCTATGAAGCCCGCATCTGCTTTCCCAGCAAGGGAACAAAGGGAGAGCAATTTACTAGTGTCTTGTGGGGGAGGTTTGTAGAGCAGGAAGGATGAGGATCCTGGACATGTAGCAAGATGGTTATTTCTTTAATCCTAGAGCAGGATCTCATTCACACAGGAGGCTACTATGGCTCAAACACCACTGCCAGTGTTGAGGGGGTACCTTAAGGGGCGATCAGACCTGGGTGTGGTGGCACATGCCTGTGATCCCAGGCCTCTGGGAGGCTGAGGCAGGAGGATGGCACATTCGAGCCTGGTCTAGGCAACTCAATGAGACCTTGTCTCGAAAGAAAAATACAGAAAGAGCTAGGGAAATAGTTCAGTGTGAAGGCCTTAGCTTTAATCTTCAGTACAACCAGACCAGACCAGACCAGACCAGACCAGACCAGA